GGGCCAGCTGCTTTACAAGTGGGCAGCGAAAGGGGTACTGCTTATCGGAGTTCCACTTTGAAGCACCCTTAACGAAAGTTGGGAGACCATTAGATACAGGTTATCAGATCCTACCGTGACTCTATTTTAGGAATCTTTCCTAACTCGAATCTCGAATGGTGAGATCGCTCATGACGAGTAGAATTACCTAGGCTGCAAGCAGTACCGGCGTTTCTGCCTCTTAGGGTTGATGTATAAAATCACCTAATGTAGTACGTTTTCGGCGGAGGTTGTTCAGGGTCGAGAGGGATGCTATCACATCTACGGTCGAGTCCTGGAGTTATGTTTGCCAAAGCCATCGGAGTCTTCCACCCTTCCAGGTGTTCCAGGTACGGCCATTTGGTAAAGAATCTTTTGAGGAATAGTAGCACTGACTTGTACATTGGGTAGCCACCGCAAGTCATTGTACAAGCCATGCATTCTGAATGGCGCTATAATGCTGAATGGAAGCGGCATGAGAAGAAATAAGATTAAAAAACGCCGGAGGACTTATAAAGGCGTTTATACTGCTGGAAAATGAGCGTAATGATTCATTTGGCTTACTGTGAAGACTGTTACTGCCACCATTCTCCTATTTGCTATCTCTACGTCCTGAAAACTTGAAGAAAGAGTCAAAACGCTAAGTGAAGGCGAACCTAAGTGGTCCGACACATCACATAGAGTGCCTAACTGTTTAGGTAGGCGGGACTGAGAAGTAAACTGAATAGGAAGCCGATCACAGAGGATTCTTGTGCATGGCTTAATCTCAGAACTGAAATCAAGAGCAACGGCAATGACGGCAATGGGGGAACGTTACATTGCGTGGGGTATTTTTATGCTAGTAATATGATTTCGTCTGAAAATTGAGCTGGACCAGTTGTTTTCGATTACTGACTTGCATAGGCGCGAGGGATGGAATGCAAACGAGGAGCTTCTACTGCTACAAGAGACTTACTTCGCTTCCTTCAGTCGAGGGGTTTTTCAAGTAGTTCTTCTTATACTTTGCAGTAACCTCCGATAATTCCCCCTGATCATGATCGCCTTCCAGAGTGTTCTATTTTGGATTTAACTGAAAAATTTTCGTATATGTCTCTAGCTGGTCGCAATTCACTTGATGTTAAACTATGTTCAACTGAATCATCTTGACAGCAATTCAATTTCACACGTTCAACGCGGATGTGTCCATTCACCCATATCTTTCCAAGCCTTAAGCATTCATGCGGGTGGGGGGGAGGGGGGTACGAAAGCCATGACGGGGGTCTGTGTACAGCAGCCAAGTAGTAGCTTGAAGGGCTTCAGTTACCGAAAGCCAACTAAGATGGGAACATTTTCAGATTCCACTTATATCCTCAGCAGGTAAATGAAGTAGTAGAAGCCGTTACTATGGAACTGCACCTCAAGCCTCTCATTTTTCCACTATTATAATAGCTTGCAGTGAAACGACCCACAGGTTTTCATCCAGAACGTTTCCGAAGAATTTTGTTAATTTTTTAAACTAACCAGCTAGAGTCCATCATTACTATATTTGAGTTCTGATGAAAATTAGTCCAATTATGTCATGAGCACATTGAGAAATTATCTTATAAGAATTAAACCACTACTTAATGGATTGCTTTCCATAGCAAATCCAACAGCCCTCAAGATAGAGGAAGAAAGCTGCAGTTTTTTGGAGCTTTGTGGAAGGACCACTTCCTCTCTCTGCTGTGACAGTGAGCTGCAAAAGTGGTCGCTTCCACATCACAACTGATATGGGCCTCTAAATTGTTCTGTTCTTTCCAAGCCTCTCAAATAATCAAAAAAGGAAATCGTCCTGATTCCTAAAAATTTTTGCTTCTGCAAATGGATCGGGTGTTTAGACCCAACATATAAAGAAGTAGAGGAGAAGGCAAAGCTTAAAAGGTTTGTGGCTCTCATTTCGCGTAGTATAGAGCCAGTATGAGCCCAAATACGAACCATCACGTTCCAAATTAAAAGAGAAACCAGGCTGACCACCGCATCGAACCTAACCTTCAACGCCGCCTCTGCTAAAAATGGTAATTTCAGTTTTATTGCCGTCACGATACCGTTCCAAGCCTTCTGAGCATGTAATTCGCTTAGATTTTTGAAGTTCTCATTTCACAAACAACAATACGCATGAGGAACAATGTTTACACCCTGACTCTTTGGGAATCCGCTTCCCGTCGGTTTGGGCTGGAGACAAGTTCCAATATGTAGAAAGCCAATGCTACGAATAACGACTACCACTAATGATTTGAGACAGTTTTTCTCATCTTATAGGTGTCTTAAACAGACTCAAACAAATTAGCTGACCGCATTTTAGAAGGAGAAACAGCTGGTTTAGACTGGCTCGAATCCCACAGATTCCCGACTGGTAAGTGGGTACTGTTGGCAAAAAACCATCTCATGAAATCCTTGTACTTCATAAAATGTTTGTGGGTCTAGCGGAAAGCAGTAAGAAGGAAAATAGGAAAAATCAACAAAACAGCAACACTTATTCGTTCCAAACGGAACTAAAGTGAATAGCTGCTTGATTGGAATCCAACCATCAGTAACAAAAACAACAATATGGGGCTCAAAACCCGCCAGAAAAAATGCACTTATTTGGGGACAAAAGATATCTCACGGGTCACTGGACAGGGTGTCCAAGCTCTACCTCTTAGCAATTAGCCGGATTTCAGAAAGAGACTATATCTCAGTTGTTACCTAGATAACCTTCGTATCGACAGCTGGTTGTAAACGCTCGGCCAGAATTGAAAGCTGGTGAAAAGGGATTCAGCAAATGAAGTTTCATAAATCCTTCAGGGTGGCCTGTCACTGTGCCACGATTATATCGGTGACTCCACAAAGAGTAACTGGCAAACAAGTAATTTTATAGAAAATCCGACATCAGAACAACAAAATCAACAAAATCTGAACGAATTCGATTCTACTCAACAAATCAGTAAAAACTCAACAGCTTAACAACTCATTATATAACAAAGACAAGGAAAAGCAACTTACAGACTGGGAAAGAACGTTAGTGCTTTTTCTTACGACGGAATTTTTTTGCTTTTAACTGATGAGTAGTGATGAGTTTACGGGCTCTTCTTTTTTGCGCTTCCACCTCTACTAATTTCTCTTCCAACGATTCCAACGAGTTCATAGACGTAGAAGAAACCTGAACTCATTTATTAAAAACGATGAGTCCATTACACGATTCAACTCTGAAAAGCAACAGTAGGACTGCTCCAAACACAAAAGACGAATCAGTGCTTTTATCCTCCCAAACGAGGTACCAATCAACCGACCACGGAGAGATGGAAGGCTTGGATGGCTTAGGCGTATATGGATCCAGGAAACGAACCCGTGACCATACGTGTGTGATAGTGCGCCACTTGCCACAACACCACTCCACTTTCGCCCGACTGGGATGATGTGAACAACTATAGAGAAATGAAAACTAAGGACCGTAGAAAGGTCGCTAAGTCTTCCGCCTCAAGCAAGGTGCATGACGAGATGACGCATTACTCTGTTAACTTATTCATTCATTTATTTTCCAAGTTCAAGAATGGAGATGTTGATGCTAAAAAAACTTTAACGATGAAACAAAAGTAAACAACAAACCCGAGGATAAAACCATCTTTAGAGAAGTTCAATTTCAACATTCAATCGGGAAATGATTTCTAATTGGTTTGATAACGTGAAGCATCGAATGAATTCTTTTCTATTAATCTCCTTCCCTTGCCTCCGTGCCCAACTATTCCCCTTTTCCTATTACTTCAAGATTAGTTCAAGATTAGCCTTATTCAATGGATGAGCGTTTGGAAAACTTCCATTTTGGGAGTACTGCACTACAGACAGTTCATCCAACACATCAAGATGTAGTTCTTTTCGTTATATTCTTCTGACCAACAATTATGCCCAAAAAACATAAAATTAAATAAGTGGTAAATTTCACCTTCTCATACTGCGCGACCACATCAGGATTTATGTACCGGGTTTTCTGAAAACAATGAATTAGCCGGTTTTCACTCACTGCCATGAACAAAATATTTGAGACTGGCAAGAACTGAGAAATCATGAAATCGACACCCCTCTATCTATGTTTTCACACGAAAGCTGTCCCTCTGTAGAAGTTAATCAAATCAAAAAATTCGCTTCCATTTGTTGCTTTCCTGTCACAACTGCTTTTTCTGAGAGGGCTTTTTTGTAAGAATAAAAAACTCAGAACCGTAATGTTTTTGGTGGCTTTAAAAAGCCGACCTGGGCAAAAATGATAGCATCTCATAGTGACTCTACCAAAGTTATGGCATCGGTATACGGACTTGAGAAAAACTCGTTGATCCTCAAGAGGCAACAAGTTCCAATGTTCAAAAGTAAGAAAGAATTAGAGAGATATTGTGGCAATGAGCAACTAACCGGTTGATTGATTTTAGCAATGCTGGGTAGCGGTTCGGCTAGCTCAGTTCTTAATTCGGCTTGCAAAGCTATCTCCTTCTCTTTGATTAAGTTCATTTCATTGTTCGAATTTTCCTGTTCAGCTTGCCTGAAATTGATAGCGAAGCGAGTTGTGAGGTCCACTCATCCGAACTGACAGTTACCTGTTTTGAAAGTAAGGCTTGTTCTTGAACGCTGGTAAAAATGCAACCGGGAAGGCACATATGAAGGCATAAGGGCTCAGAATCAAGCTATCTGAAGTCGGTGCGGTACGAAAGAGGTATGTACAAGTTGGAGGTGCTATATTCTCCGATGGCTTGCTCAACTGAATGCTGAAAACCCTCTACTTCTTACTTCAGCCATTCCTGCTTGAACGTGAGCTCTGCTGTTTAAGTTACAGATCACTGTTGACGAGTATGAATGCTGTTACTAGAATTAGGTCTTTGGAATTACCCATCCCATATGGAGGACGCGCCTCGCATTCGAGTTCTATTGAGTCTTGTTGTGGCGGTTTCAATGCGTATAAGGCCTAAACAATGGCTTGCGGTGTTCAGCCGATGTACAAGTCAGTCATTCCATACTCCCAGACGAATCTGGTACCGATTAATCGACTGCAGAGAAATGGGCGCTTTGCTAGCTGAGACAAGTATCGACACGGGATCTGAACCCTGGACCATGCGCGTGATAGTGTTCCACTTATCTGGACCGCTGTTACGGTAACGCTCACAACAACAGTGACCCTGAATGAGGAATAATCGTCACCTTAGATCATCCACTCCTAGGTCTGCTTCTCGAATGATTTTATCGAACCAGTTTTCGGAAAGACGGATCTACAAATAAAAATTGCTGAGTGCATCAGATAAATATTAGGTTGGCAAATAAGTCCTGCGACAAAATGGAGAACTTTTTAAGTCATTTCTAAATTTTTTCATATCAATCAATTTTCGAGGAAATTTTTGCCGAAGAAGTCAACAACCTTCTTTTATCCTTTGAGTCAATCACTGATGCCATCTCTTCAGGAATGAAGGAGCTGTGACTCGGAGAAGTAATTGACTGCCGTTTTTGGTTCACATTAAGTTACGAATTTCTTTTCCACAACGGGATGCTCAAAAAGGCGGAGCACATTGTTGTTAAAAGGGGGAACACTCTGATGAGTATGAGTAACCTGTAACCAAGCGAGATTGGTGAACTTTTGACGTGGGTCTGAAGCGAATTTTAGACGTACGATGTCTCTCTGCAAAGACCTGATTTACGGCTTGGTCGTCCTTCTCTAGCCCCGTTGGTCAAATAAAGGGGATCATAGGGGCAAGCGATAGCAGTGACCATATAGTCCGTTTTAAGCAACTCACAGTGGATGGATTCCTTCAACCTCCATTAAAATAAGGGATGATGCGTGCGTTACTCCGAAGGCTAGTATCTCCTGCAGTGAAGCGAGCAAACTGATTGTTGACCATCGATCGGTTAGCAGTGCTAGCATTGAATAGATTGCTGATATTTCGAGCCGCTACACTCACGTTTTTTCCTTGGCGTGCTTAGGAGAAGGTGATTTTACAAATCGGGTGTTGTCCATTTATTGACCGTAATGTTGTGAAAGCCCACAGGCGTGCCCTCATTTACTCATGTGTTGATTGCCTGAGGAATGTCCTACAAGTCCATCACCCTTGCTACCGTGTTCACATTGTTGATACAAATTTTCAACGCTTCAAATTTTTTGTCGCAGGACTTATTTGCCAACCTAATAATATAGGATAGCTAAACAGATGTAATGGAATCAAGCGAGAAATGAGAAAATCGAGCCTAAAGTTTGTTTTCGAGCCAAAAAACAGAAAAGGTTAAGATTCACGTGTTTGCCTACCTTTTTACTTCTATGGGCAAGCGTATCCAGAGCCGAAGCCAGCTTCACACGTGTTGTCAATCGTTTCATTAATTCGATACAATCGATTGGAAACACCGGTAAATCTTTCTCTGAAGTGCATGTCTTCTACAGATTACCACAGTGAATTTCATCGCAAGCTATGACTCACCTCGATTAAGATTCTTGCACAATCGGCGGTACAGATGAGCATCTTTTGAGTCGACAATCAGTACTGACAGACCTTTTCGCGAAGCTCGTGCAGTTCGTCCTGATCGATGGATATACATCTGAACAGTCAGCAGACGACTCAAAGTTTAACGATGAAGAAATAACTGTGAAGAAAAATGTCCGAAGCTTCTTCGACATTTAAGGTCATGAAGGATTAGATCAATGTTTTGTAAATTTCCTAGCCAAGAAAAAACGTTCGATCATGGAACGTAGAGCGTGCGAGTGAGCATTCCCCTACACTTGGACGTTCCTGCAGTTTGGTTCACATCACTTATTCGTTTTCTCCTGCTGCCATTTTGACAATTACACATTTCTGAGAAGAAATAGTCCTAAATGCTTAGTGTTCATACTTTTGAAGATCTTTTTCACTCATAACTTGCTAGCAGTCGGTTGGAAGGCGAACGTGAGAAAATGGCTCAACTAATAGTGCTGATGCACCACCAACCTTGGATGACTTTATAGAAACTAGTGACATAACATTTTTTCGTTTGTTTTTGCTCATCGCCATAGTTCAATCAGGGAATAAAAACGTACTTCTGCAGTTTTCGGTACTTGATAGTGGATGACATTATCGATTCCTTGAATATCGAGCCCTCGAGCTGCCACATCGGTCGCCAACAACACGCTCCTCGAATCCGCTGAAGAACTTACTATTCTTTTTTCTCTTGAAAATCACTCAAAAATCCCATTACCAAACTTCAAAATATTAAAAGAACTCGAAAATTTGCAAAATGCTCCAGAAAGAAGCATAACACTAGGAAGATATGTAAGGACTACGCTGACAGACGACTTCATTTTATAAAACCGAGCCTGCTGAAAATTGAGTCACACCAATGTTTATATCACGAGTGGTTAGAGAAGCAAATTTTTATCTACCTGCGAATTTTTCCAAATTCTTCAAGCGGACTTTCTGCTCCATCTTCGCATGTATCATCAATGGTTGCAACTTCAACAGCTTCAGAATTCCATACATCCGTCGTGAAGCATCCACCGAATTCGTGAATATCAACGTACGACCTTTGTATCGTTCCAGTAGGTAGACTATTGTTGTATCCTGTAGGTGAATGAAATTTTAGAACGAATTTGCGCACACTTGAATAGAATTACTTTTTCGAGAAGACTTGCGCAATTGATCCTCGTCTCCACCAACGCCTCTGCTGTTCCAAATTCGCGAGTTATGTCAAAAATTTTACAATGAGGCCGCATTCCAGTAAGCTGAACAAGCTCTTCTGAAATAAAACACAACATAAAAAATCTTGTAAGTTCTCCAAACCTTTACCATCTGAAAGGAATGAAATTCAAGAACACCTTATCTCATATTAACTAATAATAAACCCAATCACTCGAAAGATGAAGAAAATTGATAAGGAGACTTAATGCATCAAAGGATGGCACGATTAAAATTAGAACTTTCTTGCTTTCCTTATCTAACCTGACACCACCCGAGAGTTAAAAAAGAGCACTAACTTATTTTCTGTTGTGGGGTCAGCTCCTTCTTTGCAGAATGAAGTCGAGACTGATCGTGGTGAACGTATGTCAAAGTCGCAGAGAAGACCAAAGTTTGCAGCTTAACCGATGCCGACCTGATACATAATACGTAACTAGGAGCAGGTGTAGCAGGAACTCCTATCTACTCACTTCCTGACACATTTTAAAATATCTTCCATTTCTTCAAAATGCCCCTTTTCTACCATACGATCCGTCTCGTCCACAACCAAACATACCAAACCGCTCCAATCCGATAGATACTGGCATACAGGTTGACCTTCTTCCTAAAAATCCCGTCTTACTAAACCTTTTCTGACTTCTAATTCTTCAATGCATACCATTTCCTTCATCATAGCCCAAAGGCGGCCAGGGGTGGCCACAATTACTTCTGGTTTCTGCTCTTTCAGAATTCGAGCTTGCTTAACTTGCGCCAAACCTCCAACTATTGAGAATGCCTTAAACGAAAAGTTATTTATGACCCTCAAAGATCAGCTGCCAATATCGGATTTTCGATAGATATTCAACACTGGGGTTGAGCCTCAGACAATAGCTTACTTTGAAGTCGGTGTATTTCAGTACAGCTGTCACATGCTTCATAACTTGCACAACCAGCTCTCTCGTGGGTGCTAATATTAGCGCTTTGGGGCCAGTTTTGTTTAGGCGAGCTTCTTGGGGCAACTCGAGAAGTCGAGTTACCATCGGTATAGCATAAGCCAACGTCTTACCACTGCCCTAAAAATATAGAATTGACATTAATGCATCTCAAAAGGGACCTAGCTCAGTCAAACAATTGAGTTATAAAATTCCTCTCACGGTTTCCGCTGCTCCCAAAATATCACAGTGATCCCGAACGGCTACAGGAAGCACTTGTTTCTGTATCTCAGTAGGAGCTTTGAACCTAGAAAAGCGATATGTACAATTATCCAACTGGGACAGATGCGCAACATGATTTTTTCCTCCAACCCACATTTTAGCTACTGTAGAAAATCCGATGAATCTGAATTAAGGCCACAGGAGATCAATACAAATATGCTAGAAAAAACTAGGCGTTGAGACTCCACGTTCCAAAGTATGGGGTAGGAACCTAACCCGTCCCTCGGGATAACCAGACCAGTCCTGAAGCGTAACTCGTGTGATGCCCTCGTAATTCTTAGATAGTCCCACTAAGCAAGATACGGGTAGTAGGATCAGTTTCTCCAACCTGTGGATAGTAGAATTGCTGCACGTCCCATTTTCACAATATAACACCCAAATAACTTATTTTACTGTGTTTATGCTGAATTATTTGGATGACTTGTGAAACCTGAGAAAAAAACTACCCCAAATCCCGGATCGCCCACAAGATCTGTTCGGGTAGATACATCTCGCTCCATGACGACTCTGAGGCCTGCTTTGAACCACCTGAAAGAAAAAAAAACTATATAAAACTAGATGTCTTCTCAACTCGAGGACAAATTAAGCCTAATCAACAGGCTCACCATCATCGTCAGACTCCTCATCGTCGATAACGATTCGATGCACGATTTCCTGCCGTTGCTCGCCAGATGGTGGAGAGCCCTCCCCTTTTATTGATGCCTCTGAGGCATGCGCTGAATCTTCAACGGCAAACTTCACTTTCTTGGCAGTCGTAGGTTCTTCACCCTTTTCAGCTCTACGTTTCTTTTTCTTTCTCTAAATCAAAGGATCTGCGTCGAGAACCAGTAAGAAGAAACCATGAATGTAGGAAGACTGACTTTCTTCGTTTTCTCGTTACCGTTGCTCGGTTGACCGCTTTCTGTAGCATCAGCCTTCGCAGTTTCTACCATGGCTACCTCTTTGCTTTCCTTAAACTTCTTTTTCTTTGCTCTCTTTTTCTTCCTTTTCACCTTGTCAACCATTCCTTCGGCATTTAGTGAGCTACCCTCAGTTTCGTCATCTTTAATCTGAAAATGCGATGAATTGTTAAAAAACAACAACACTTAGTGTTGATTTCCATGCATAGAGCGGAGGTGTAGTGTCAAGTGGCGCACTACACACACTCGCGGTCGCGGGTTCGATTCCGGATCAATATCCACCAAGTCAACCAAGCCCTCCAACCCTCCGAGGTGTGTTAGTTGGTACCGAGCTCGCCTGGTAGAATAAAAGCACTGACTTGTACGGCTGGTAACCGCAAGCCATTGTACAGGCCACATACGCCTTCAATACGCCACTACGATTCTATTTAAATAGGAGCGAAATGCGGGAACGCATCCACCAGACGGGATCGATCGACGACCAAGGACTTTATCTCCTCGCATCATAACTCTATTGACAACATTAATCGCTCTGAACGTATAAACCTTACCACAACAAAATATTCCAGAGGCTGAAGTCATATACGCATCATTCAAGCACCAAATTTTTAAAACAACGCCAACATGTTCACCACAACTTCTCTTTACATGGAGCTCACCTGATCAAGCTTTTTCTTCTTCAACTTTTTCACTTTCGTCGAGGATTGAAGATCCTCTGGCAGAAGCTCCTGAAACAATCCCAAATATCCAAACTCGGCATCTTTCAAATCGCCAGTCATCGCACCATCTCTCCACTGGGCCCCGCTTGATAGTGACACCACCTTCGGCATATTGTATCTAGGCAGCTAAAAGATATCATTTCAGCAGGCAAATAGCTGTATTTTAATCCATGTATCATACAGAATCACCTCTCCAGGAATTGGATAGACAAAGACCTAATGAATTGGATGGACTATTAAATGAGAGAATTTAATTTTTATTTCAATGAGACCAACATCAACAATTTCAANTTTTTCACAGGAACAATTCAAGACTTAACACTCCATACTCTGTGTGTCATTCTTTCGCTGCAGCTTCCGAGCTGCCATAATATATCGTAAGCCAAATTTGTTTTGATCAGCTCTGTAAACATAAATTGCCTACGCTTGGTAAGAAAATACAAATAAAAAACAAATTCTACAGAGTACAACTCACAACTTAGAGATCATCTGGGTATGATGAGCAACAATCTGTTGAATTCCGGTCAATATAGCAACATCTGTTCGTCCTTTTAGACGCATGCCATGAATATTGAGAATATGCCGCAGCCATATCTAAAAAAAATTAATATGAAGCTACTCCCGAATCATTAGATACTTGACCAAACTGTATGCTTTGAATATTGAAAAGGAGCAGAACGCGTTTTGTAGATGAAGAAAGATAGGTATTCACCATACTGGGATGCGATAAGGTGGCCTGTTCCGATGTGGCACTATTGCGAAGTTTATGGTGGGTTATAAGGTTAAATATGCTTTTTAGCTCTCCAAAGAGGGCCTATTGGTAACATATCCATCTGTGAAAATAAAGTGCATATCCGACGCCATTTTTGTGCAAGCTTTTGAAAGGGAGACCACAAGTTTAGGGTTGACCTTAGGAGATTTAAAACTATGTTGTCCTATAGGTGGTGCTGCTAGCGATTGGACTGAACGTTTTCCTTCCCTTTCAGTTCTCTTCAAAGTGACTGAGGCATCTTCTTCTTTTCCCTCTTTCTCCTCTATAGGTCTCTCTGTGAGCAACCGTTCAAAATTACTAAATCTGAAGGACCTCGTTACTGCAGAATTGTAAACTTAAAGCCCCTTGGGTTTAGCACTCTTAAAATTTCGCCAATCAATCTTTTGCTAATTTCGAGAAAGTGACTCCTGAAATCCACTTCGTCCACAAGTCACAACGTGATTAACCATCACCCGAAACAGGGTGATGGTTAATCACGTTGTGACTATATCTCCAAACTTTATTATATCTTCTGCATAGAAAGAGCTAAGATGGGATGAATTGAAAACTTGTAAAAAAATGGGAATTCTCACCATGTAAAAGTGCACATGCGTTGAACTCGCCACTACTCGACCATCAGTCATCCACTTCAGCAGCTTTTCCACATACGATAAGGGCAGAGAACGAACAACTAATTCGACTGAAAACTCGTTTTTACAACCAGCAACTTATATTTGTGACAGAGAATAGCTAGGGTACTGACTCTGCTCCAAAGATGTACTTTCCATACTTCTCTGTATTAGTGAAGTATCGTTCAGCCGCAAACTCGCCATGAGAGCAGTTGAATAATCGCTCAACGAAAGAGCGCTGAAAAACAAAATGAAAAAGGGGATCTTGGTATCAATGATTCACAACTCACTTTTTTATCATTGCAGGCGTCGTCTGACTGTCCAGCTGGAATGGATCGAATAAGCCTACTGTATCCAATGAATACACCCCGACACCTTCCGTACTACACACGGCAAATTGTCGACCTATAATGTCACAGAAAGGTAGCACAGAGTCGCTGAATAATTAAGCAAGTCACAAGATTACCTGTTGGACAAAAAGTCACTGCATAGACTGCTATTTGAGGTCGTGCAGATCGCTCTCCCAAATCAAAATGCTTTGAGCCAGGGAGCCGAATAGCTCGCTTGCCATCCGGTTCAGTTTCGGAATCCGATGAGTCGTAAAGGGCCATATTACCAAATTCGGTGTAGTTACGACGATTCACATCCAACTGGAAAAAGAATGAACATCTTATGTAGAGGATCATGAGTGTAGTGCATTTTCCATCCGGCAGTAGTGAAGTTAACCCATTCTTCAGTGCTTTTTCATGACAAGAAAAATAGGGCAGAGTAATGAGCAGTTAATCATGTGACGCTGTAAATTCTGGACTGAAAGTCAGGAAACGCACCACAACTCCATCAAAACTTCGATTTTCTGTGATCTGAAACTTCTTCACGAGCATACGATCCACCACCGAATACAAGCAGAAGTTGTTCGAGTCTCCACCCAATAACAGCAATGCGCTATCAGGAGAAAACTGCATGCTCGTGAATGATCTAAACCGCAAGTTAATCAGTTGCAAAAAGACAATTATTCCTTCAAAAACTATGTATTACAAGGAAACTCACTTGCTCTGAGCTGCATTTTGCCGTGTGATCAAGTCAGTTTGTCCTCTTGATGGGTCCAGGTCTAACCTGGCATCAATCGACCCAATGAAAGTCATCTTAACAGAAGGTATTCAAATGAGATCACATATAAACTCTACTAATGGATATTGTTAGATGCGCCTTAAGTGAGCGAACGAGAGGATTTTCGTGACGTTAATGCATTTGAACTACTCAGTAACCCACATCCTTTCCATAAAAGGTGATATTTGAGTCGACAGTGAGCACAGCTATCATCAGTCCGCAAGGTGAAAACGACACAGCGATACCTTCTTGCACAAGGTCAGTTGTCTCACATGTCGAGTCCACAATGTTCCACAATCTAAAGATAGTTGAAAGCAATCCCGAATAGATTCCAGGTTTACCTTGCAAAAAGCAAACAACAAGAAAAGCGTTAGCGAACAACACTTGGAAACCTACTTCAACGTCCGATCCCATGAAACACTAACTAACGCATTTCCATTCATACTTATACCAGCAATATTTGATCGATGTCCGCTCAGCACATCTAGCAAGGAACCATTTTCCATACTCCATACAAAAATCTGAGTAGATAACCCGTTGAGATGATGAGAAACTCGAAAACACCAGATTATTTCTTAAATACTTACATTGAACACTTCTTTTGCCGCGGCTACGACTATATCACCGGAGTGATCCACGGCTAAGCTACCGAGTTGCGTCGGCTCCGGACATACAAGAGTACGGAAGTTTCGATACCTTGAATGGTTCATTATCGAAAAAACATTTTACCAATTTAGCCTTTAACCTGCTTAAAACCTTTGACAAAATTACCTTTTCAGATCATGAGCTCGCACCGTTCCATCCAAAGAGGCACTGAGAACCGCTTTACCGCTTTGCGTCCAGCAAACGCCTGTCACGGCCGAGGTGTGCTCATCGAAAGTCACCGTGCAGAAGGCTGTATTGCCGTTCCAGATTTTCACCTATGCGGAGTGGTTACGTTCATACGCTCGTACGAAGAGTTCTTTTCATTTTCAAGGAATCATCCTATCAACCAAAAGGATCAGAGCTTAAGATGAGAATGGAGAGCTCACTGCAGCTTCATAGCCACAAGATAATTTTACTACAATCGATTGCGGTGCAGAAAATCCACACAGGGGCAACAATGTAATCTTCTTACCTTCCCATCTTCTGCTCCAGTAGCAAGTAAGGAGCCGTCTGGCGAGTACTGCACTGCGAGAACTCGTTGCGAATGAGCTTGTTGTTTCAAAACGTAGGTCTCCGACTGCCATTCCCATACCTGAAACCGAGATTTGAGATTGCAAGGAATCTGCAATCGTTACTTCTCTTGAGGTACTATGTCAACTCACCACCAATTGCGCTGCAGACCCTTTACCACAGCCTAATGCTAACCAATCTCCTGTATTGTTTATCGCTACGGTCGTAATTTGCATTTCCGACACCCTTAACAAAACCACATTATAGAAAATACATTTTTCATCGATACACAACTATAAGATCAGTCTAACCGTAAATTATGAATTAAGGAAAACGAAGGCACTTCATGAAGAACAAATACGCCATTGGAATACGCGGTTACCAAGATGTTCGTCTTTGTGTGTATACGACAAGATGTGACATCGATTCCTGACTTACCGCTGCCGGACGATTCTAGGAGTGAGTATCTGAAATACTATTGTCTGGTAAGTGAGGTTTAGATAGTTTTTCAAGTTAATGCATAAAACCATTTAAGAAACCAAAAAACACTCAGTATTCGCAAAGCAAGATGGCACAAGTTAAGAAAATTGACGTGGTTCTTGAAGCAGAACAAGAAGTCAAGTAAGTAGGGGATGTAATAAGTACCATTTGAAGAAAAAGTGAGTACGAGTTTACCTAACCTTTTGGATTTCTCATAGTGGAGTCTTGTCACCGATTCATCTTCGCTTTCCATTTCATTTTCGTCTGGCTTCGTCCACTTACCTGGAAAGACTTTTAATCGTTCTGTCTGTGAGAAAGAAACAATCTTATCGAGGAGCACAGCTTTTGCAAGCCACAAACTTTTGAAAGGTTTTGGGGTGAAATTCACTCATTTTGTATAATCCAGAAAGCAAGAAGACATTTTCCACGTCATTAGTATGAGGTACTGAGAACGGGTATCAAGTCTATTTATCAATAACACATGAAACATAGTTTGAGCGCCACCTGGAACCCACGAACCTTCAACAAGATCTCCAGGTTGAATCGACGCTGTCCAAACATTGGCAATACCACGTTTACATACAGACAACAACTAAAACACAAATTTCAAAAACGACATAAACAAAAAGAGCGAAATCATTGCATTGTATGGAACTTACATCATAATTATTGTTCAAAAACTGGCATGTCACAATGGGGCCTTGATGTGAAGCCAATGAATGAATGAAAAGGTTTCGGTAGTCACGGGCGCCTACTATTCGAACAATATGATCTTCTCCACCAGCTACAACGAGACTGAAAGAACGCAGATTATGGTAACTTCTACTCTTCATATCTTGTCTGGCAGTAGCAAGAACGGGAAGCTTTCTTTTTCAGAAAAAACGACAATTTGTTAAGTCTCACAAAACGACAGTTTGTTAAGTCCGCACCAGGGGTAGTAAAATAAATCTGAGGCTACATTAGCGGAAGGCTGTTCCCACTGATCGCCTAGTTCCGGGCTTAAACATGTGGAATGACAAGAAACCTGTATAACATTAACATCATCCTTGAGGGACGCGCAAGAAAGTAAATTTCAATGTTTAATACAAAAAGTTTTCGACGTATCCTTTTCTACAGCGCTTGTAATTGCCTGTTTCGTATTAGTCAGATCTATCAACTCTCATTACAAGCTTAACCCAGTTCACTTCAATTTGCTGCTGGAGCTCTCGTTTGAGGAAAACATATTAACATATAATCAAGCAGCTGAAACCGAATGCTCAAAAAATATGCAGCTGTATCAGACTAAATTGAATTTTCAACTTCAACAAGCTCACCATCCATCGCTCGACCAATCGACACAGTTCAAAGTCTCTGATGACAACTTATACGTCTTAGAAAGATGAAACGGATAATACATTGACATTGACTGCTTTCCTATTTCTTGTATTTGTAAGTCCATATCACGGCATATCGCAATAAACCTAGAATTTCAACAATAGTAAGGTCTTATTAAGAACACTGAAGTGAACTTATCAGTAGCGTTTATAAAAAAACACTGCAAAGCTTCACGTATACATACTTCCCGTCCGGTGAGAACTGCACAGCTCGAACGGTTCTGTTTGCTCTGAACTTGAATATCACAGTTTCTGTACTCGTGTTGATGTAGAGGACATGTCCACCTGCAACAACATTATTACTACTAACACTCTGGACTAATGGGATAGGAAAGAGAAGAAACCACTTGGGAAGCAGGTGTGGAAGATCATGAGTTCCTAATTTGAACGGAAAACCGAGAAAATATACGAACCTTCGTTGGAAACAATCATGTGCGATCCTGTGCTGTTCATGGCCACTGCCATGATATTGTGCAAACAATCGAAAGACAATGTCCTTGATACATTACTGGAATTTCGTATTATAAAAAATAAAAATGTATAATTGGTTGCGTTCATACTTCCGAGGTCGACGCCAGCGTCGGCATCGGCCATCGATGGATATGAGCGCAAGCTAATTGCTCGAGCTGGACAAGCTAGAATTACTTACTTTTTAAGATCAAAAATAGAGATTTTGTTTCCAACCGGACTTATAACAGAGTTCCCATCAGGTGAGAATATCACATTTCCATTTCGGTATACAGAACCAATCAGGTTCGAGAACTGTAATTACTGATGGTTATTACTTGTTACAGTCGATCTGAAGTGAAAATAGCTGTGAAAGTATTCCGAAAACTCGACGTACTCGAAAGTTCAAGTCCATATGAAACCCGTTTTGAAGCCAGTGCAATTATAGAAGTTTTGATACAAAGAAATAGATCTGAAAAAGCAAGATCAGAAAACATATGATGAAAGTTATTCACCATCCAAACAAACGTAAAATTACATAACCACATAGATCAATCGCTTAAATTCACGCGAGGCGATAACAAGAAAAGGAAGAAAAGTGACTTCTTCTTTCTAACAACTTCTAAAAACCTTTGTTGCAACTTAATCAGGATCAGAGTAAGTTAGATACAACTAGGTCTCCCTCGTTCGTTAGATAGAAACAGTTTCGTTCAGGTTTTTCGAAAGTTCTTTAATGTTTCATGTCTTGACGGCTTTGACCTTATTCTGTATGCCCTCTTTTCTTGGTTCGTTCCTCAATCAAATACTCAAACGCTCGATTACTGTGCTAAATAGTTGGTTTAATAACGCTACCAGTGAAGTAAAAACGTAAAACCCATAGCAATTCAGAACTCCCCCAAGAACAAACTCGACATGAACCCCAGAAGCTCAGGGGATCATCTCCTTTCAATCTCGAAATGCTTGCCTTAAAGTGCTCCAATCAACCATCGAATACTCAGCGGAAAAGGTGGGTGGGTCGTTGGCCGAATGCCAGCGATCCCGTCGTTGCTGGCGGTCGATATCGTGCTCGCCCGCGCTGCCGCAAGCCAAGAGTTCCGCATTGCTGTCGGTAAGTTTGTGACGTAATCAATAGTGTTTTTATCAAAAGAAATTATGGCATTCGACATACCCACCTCTCAGCCCCATTTGCCCCTTTTCGTCCAATGCTTGACTTGCATAAAGGTGCCTTTCTGACTCATTTGAAAGGTCCCATTCCCGAATTAAAACTTGCAATTTTCTAAACGTCTACTTATTGGTCTTTTCAACCACGAACTTTTCTTCTTTGGAATCCTGACATCCTGATAATGCCCGGATAAACCTTCAAAATCGGTGTATTCTCTCAGTGCGAAACATGTCATTTAGATTTTTAAACAATTTTCTTCACATTTTTACTTATATTGGTTCTTAGCTTCTAAAGGGATGAGTTAATCTCGGGATAAATAATATTTGGCGTAATTTTAGCGTTGTATATATTTTCTCTTACAAATTTTTGATGATGTTAATCTAAACATAAGCTTCTGATATGGAGAAATCGCTCGGGCGGCAGATGCTAGGGGTATCGTGATTGTAATTTTGCTGGGTAGAAGCTGTGCTTCCAGATATGGAATGTTTCACTCTGGCATGCTTGGTAGGGAGAGATTTTGCTTCATGAGGGCATTCCTTAGCGTGAAATCTATGAGGTTTCGGAAGATGATTTCATCTCGGTCTACTTCTAATTACTTCCTGAGAACTTCTCTTAACGCCGAGGTGGTAATCCACGTGATCTCTGATCATGCATACCCGATGATCCTATGAGGGGCCACGGAATAAATCACTTGGATAACCTGTGGCAAGCCATCAATCTTGCTTTTTTCCTCATTATTTTTTACAACAACAACGCATTAATCACTGACAGTTGTGTAAAGCTATACAGCTCTGATGGGAATCTGTAATTGTCGGAAAGCTACCCATATGGTGTTTATAAATTGCTCTAATAGTGCTTGATGGTGTTTATAATCTGCTCTGCATAATACTGGGTAGAATGAAGTGAATCCTTACCAAGAGTTTGATCAGGGAATTGGATCCTCTGCCCATAACCACCCAAGCAAACCAAGCCCTCCATTCCCAGTTCCGACGTAGGTCAATTACTACTGGATTCGTTCGGGAGGAGAAACCACTTGTAATCATTGTTCATGCCATATTCAGTCTCATCTCTCCAATTTTGAATGAAAGTCGAATAAGTTGAATATAAAGGGCACATCCAAATTGGATTACTCAGCCAACAAAGGCTTTGCACTCTTAGTCATCGAAAGTTGATTAGTTTTCATCAACATTGCTGGTACTATTACCCATCTACTACACTGTGAATGAAAACATATTTCCACTTATGTTTTATCTGTAGGGCTAACGGATAATCCTGATGAAAAACGTGTTTGCAATAGTTGGTTCCCAACTCGTTGTCATAAAATTCTTCCTAAAGTCGCATCTGTAAAGGATTGTTGTGTGTTCTGATCACAAATATCATATTATTATACGTTTTTGTTAATTATCGTACTTACAGAATTACATATGACCCTCCGATAAAAAAAAGCTGTGTGACCATGAACAGTTCGGTCAATTACTGCTCCAGTTGGATTTTCAACAGAAAAAAAAAACAATTTTTGGCTCTCTCGTACTGCCGCATTTCAATTATGACGCTTATTTATGATACCGCTGTAACTGCTAAGACCTTTCTCGTAAAGAGGTAGTAACTTGAGTACGGCTGCAATTTATATGATAAAATTACTGTGAAACGAAATGAACGTTACGCTACACCAAGCCCCGAGAAAATACAGTGAATCACTTTCGAATTTTCCCAAGATATGTAAATTTCTTAGAAAGAAGTCATCGATCGCTAAATATTCACGATCGGACAGTTACATTTCTGGAATTACGCAGGCTTTGTAAAGTTCGATCAAATACTAATCATCGTTATGAGCTTGTATGTTTTCCTCTAAAGTTTCAACACGATTTTGAGGAAAAAGCAGTTGCCTTGTTGGAAAGGTGAACTAGGGGATTGGGAGGCTCATCTTTTAATCTAGCGATTTGACGTAAGTCATTCACGGTCACATGGTGTGACTCTTTAGGTGACTGTGTTAAGCATGCGACATATAACGTCAGGTGTGAACCTCGATTTATAAGCCTTTTCGCTAATGGAATTTTGGCCCAATTTGTCATGGAAGTTTGGACCAATTTGTCATTCGTTGGTGCGCTTTGCCCAAAAGTTTTCTAATTTACATAGTTGGTACTCTTTCTCTTGGTACACCTCGAATCAAGACTTTGGCAATGATACGATAGTAGCTTTGGGTTTTTGATGTGATTTTAGGTTGTTTGGTTTATTTTAGTTTTTTTGTTTGATTGCAACTGAAATGATTTCGAAAACACATGGTCATGTAGAAGCTGGGAATACTTGGGCACACCTTACGATCAATAAAATTTCGTCGACAACGAAGGGATTATGCGCATGAATATTATGAGTGGCGCACGCAGTCAAATTCACCACCCATCGGGGTGGCAGTCGGCTTTCAGCTGAATTTGAGAAAGCCGGAGAGCAGTGTTCAACGTTTTTTTGTACATGCTACTATGGTGGTGTCGTTAAAAAGAGTAAGACATGCATGAGGCGCATATCCTGACCCTATTCTGTACACTTCCAGGCTGCGTTGTGACTGGAGGGTTCTGCGTTTCTTAACAACTGCTCTAATGAAATGTAGGCAGATGTCGAGATAACAAGTTGATTTTTTCCGTTTAAATAGGTAGGAAGGGAGAGTGGGCTGCTGTGGGATGGGTCTGACCTGCAGATTCATTAAAGGGTTGCAAATTGTATAATTGTATCTCCCAATTTCCGTGATCCACTCACAGATTCTCACTGAGCTTTTTGCAAGAGTAAGGTGCCGTGTGGTTTTTACCGTTTTGTGTAAAATAAGCGGCGTTTGGCCTTCAGTGGCGGTGTTTTTTTTATAGTTGGGAAACTATTAAATTTGATTTGTAATAGCTCTCTTTTACAGTGTGGAATGTCACGGCGTTCGCGTGTTTCTGATGAAATTGACGTGATATCGAGCAGTGACGATGAGGTGCCAATTCCACCATCAAAACCGCCGATAACAATACGCGGCGTTGGTCATATAACCATGTGAGATTCTTCATCTTTTTTTTCGTTTTCTAGCAGGGAGCAGTTTATTATTGTTCTACTGATTGATAAGGGCTAGGATCTGAATGGTGGATTGGTTTCGTGTTATTAATTAACTGGCATATCCACTTATTCATTCCCAAGCAGGCCCCTCTTGCATACCTGGTCTTCCTGGTTTCTCGTCAAAGGCAAGAAATTTGGAAAAGACGTTGATGCCTATTTCTGACCATTGCGTTCCGACGTGGAACTTATCTGCGAATTTGCGTCTATCTCTCCCGTGCACGGCTGAGTAATTGACAGAGGGCTTGCGAAAAGGATGTGACTATCTAACGTTTGCCTTTGCTCAGCTTAAATTGTGATCGATGAAGTCGGGAAGAAAACTGATTGAAAGACCGACAGTTCTAAAGTGCAAGCTGTAGGATGCTAAATAATCAAGGAAGTCAGCGGAAAAACTTCAAATTTGTTGTTGCTTCTCATGTGAGCAGCTGCTCTTCTACATAGTGTGGCACCCAATTTCAATACCGAAGGGTTGCAAACTGGATTTGATGGAAAGGGGAAGGCTAGTTGTTCAAAATTTTTCTTGAAATATTATGTAAGTTGATTCAGCTCCAGCTGGAGGCGGACGAGCCATTGGCTTCATTCAGAGTTAGTGGCAGTCGCCAACATTTGTCACCTTCCCCACATGACCAATCGTTAGCGGCACCTTATTTGACTTTAGTCCTCTTACTTCTTCAAACTTCGAATTGGAGGGCATTGTCTTGATAGGTTCGCGAAAAGCATCCTTTCGCATGGCTTTCAATGGTTGATTGAAAGGAACCCTTTTCAAGAATGAGCTAGCAGCAGGTGTAAATCTAGCTGAGGCATATTTTACTTTTTTCCATTGCCATTTTCGACGTAGAAATTACTTTTCGCTGGAATGCTTTTAACCAGTTCACACAAATTTTTATGACGTTAGAATGACTAATTGAATGATGACGAATAATCAGCGAATGCCTTCCATACGGCGTGGTTACACTCTCCCATTATGACTAATGCGGCTTCTGTCAGATTAGATACTCGTCAAACACGATGAAACTCTTCAAAAATTAAGAAGCAATCTGAGCTCCGAGTTGAGTGAAGGAATCAGTGATTACCCTAAAATTTCATAGATAAGGGCGGGTGAACCTACCGGTAAAAAATGAATTGGAAAAAATCGAAATTGAATGCAGTCACTCCTCTGACTTGATGGATGGATAAATTAAACTTCGAAGAAGAAGTTAAGAAGAAGCTCCGCCCCTCAACNACCGGTAGGTTCACCCGCTCTTATCTATGGAATTTTAGGGTAGTTTTGCTTTCCTGCACTGTGAAAGTTTCACGTGGTGTAGTTTGGTTCTTAATGACGTTATGAACTGTTTGCTGCCTTCAAGGATATTGTTGCCCGGAGAGCTAAAGTTGTATGCATTTCTCGAATTTTCTTCTGCAGATCAGACATATTTTTTCCAGCTTGTTGGGTTAGTTTTGTGGTTGATCGCCTAAAGCCTAGTGAACCTAAACATATCGAAATCCTATCATGATTCAGTGCCTGGGTTTATGCTGGGGCTAAACACTTCTGTCACTTTCGGTTGAAGTCGGGAGCGAGGCTCATTCTTAGATGGTAACGCCGATCATTTTTTTTTAATCGTAGTTGCCACGGTATGCTGCTTCGGAATTGGGAACAGCTCTTCCGACTTGTACAATTAAAACCACTTGAAAGCGTTTCAGTGGGCTTACTGCTATTAGCGCAGGGTCTAGGTGCCCTAATTACTGTTACTTCGCTGAACCAATTAATTGCAAGTAGCGGCCAGCTTGCGACGCAATCACACGACTGTAGTAACGCAATGAGGCAGTGCCCATATTCGGCGGCCTGAGAGAATAGAAGAGTTGATGAAGAGTAGAGGCACTTATTTGTTCATTTGACTCTACCATTCCTGCGCTTCTGTTTCTCCGATTATTAGGAAGCGGAGCCAGCAGAAATCATTCGTACCTTTTGCAGTTTCTCCGACTCAGCCATTGTGTTTCTTTCTCTCGATTCTCGGTCTCGCAGAATACCTATGCTGCTTTAGACAATGCATTCGATCACTTAGGCTACAGTACTGATAAATGGTCCCAATAGAGTACATCGGAACTATTAAATGTAAGTGTTCCGACAAAAGCAGCATAAAATTCAGTAAAAATTACGAACTCATGAAATGCTATTATTCTGGTTTTTCATTCTTGGTTTCCTGTTGTATTTTCAGGATGGACGAAAACATTGGGTTTTAGCTTCAAGGGTTTTGTTGCATCTGTGGCAGATCTTCTTGAGTGTCATTCAATTTTCGGGGACATACACACTTCCTTGTTGACCCTTTGTTGTCCTTCTATGGATCAACTCTTCCAAATATTTACTTTTGAAAATGTACTGTTGCTAATTTTCGTATTCATTATGTCGTTTGTGATTTTACGCTTTGGTGGATGAAAGGAGTAAAAGGAGTAGTTAACTCCAGTATGAGTTATTTATTTATTTATTTATTTATTTATTTAACGGACA